TTGCGAGCTACATGAGATGTGGCCGGTGATAGTTGGTGCCAACCGACATTCTACTTGGAACAATGTTTTTTTGAAATTAGTCAGAGGATAAATGTTAGAAGTAGTATAAAGATAACTGAACAGAGCTTTCTTTCTCTTTGTTTCCGTAAATACAATGTTTGGTCGAGTAAGTTTGTGTTGCTCATATTGTACCTACAGCGTCTATCTGTTCTAATTATTTCGATCGTCTAAATTTACTGAATGTATTTAATACGGTTTTTAGTATAATGCTTGAAGAAAATATAAATTCGTAAATGTTTGTTTGTTTCTGTTGATGAAAATGATACACTACCTTACATTTAATCATATAAAATCGTTTTAACATTATAAATAAATTAATTTATTCTGGAAGATGTACGATTGGAGTATTCACATCTTGCAGTAAACAATGACTATATAAAAAAACAAACTGACGTGACGTATTACTGACGAACCGATTCTTAGTTGTTAATGAACATCATGACCGACTGATGCTGCTAATCCTTGAGGACCTTCCTCGTTCCCAACCCTTCCCTTCTCAACCCTTCAGTTACTGCTCCGTTTATTGGTTCACAATGATTCACAAGATCCCTTTTAGGTTTTTACAAAGTACCTCTACTTTCCATTTTTAAGCTGTAAATTAATGAATTGAACTTATTCCTTTTGTAATGAATACAGATACTCTCCCACGTGCAAGTCGTGCGTCGGATCCGAATCAACTGTTGGTTGTACAAATATTTACGATCCCGTACAAAGCAGGAATCGAACCCCGGCCTCAACTATACCGGCTGTATCAATACTCTTTGATGGGCCACCGTAGTGCTCCCGTATTGCGAGACCATGTTTGTAAGTGGGCGGTAAAAATTGTGAAATAATATTAAATTACATGGTTGGTTTTTTTTTCATAGTAATTCAACTTCATGAAAAGAGAAATATATTATTCAAAAGTAAATTACTACTTAGTCAAAGACGTATTCAAATGTCCATTATCAAAAATTTAAGGGATTTTTAACAGCCTTACGAAACGAATAATTAAAAGGTTCTAACTGAAGGTTGTGTTAATTGTACTGAAGCTTAAGGAAGGTAATTTGAACCGATGAGGAGCCTGCTATTATCGACTGAACCTACTTCTACTTCCTCCAGAAATGGGAGTTAAAGTCGTAAATAAATTTGAGGTTTTATTGCCCCAGAGTTCTACAAGACGGTATTTGACTGAAGCCATGAAAATCAGATCAGTTTTACAGGAGTTAAAGTAATTTTATTTGTATTATGAGTTAGATGAAGTTTTTATGAGACGAGTCACATCGGAAAAGGCGACGGTCATAATTAAAGAGTCATATAATGTTCCTTAATAACAATTGGGAGTCACCTCAATGATTTAATCAATTAGCTCTTTATATTCAAGATTATAAGCTCCTATCGTGACTTGAAACAAGTCGATCATTCCTACAAATAGTTACGTAAGTAAACCTGTAATACCAAATTCCCTTAAATAATATCAAAACATAATGTACTTAAAACTACAATATAATAATTACAAGTAGAGTATAAGTCGCGACCACACGCTCACAGTCCTCACAGTCCCCGCTGCCACACACATATTCACCGAAATATTTGCTTACCGCGGATAAAACGGACCGAACCTACATACACACGCGTGTACCGGTACTACTGCCCGCATCTGAATACATGCTCAAATTTCATATTTTGGATAAAAAATACATTCATGTTGTGAATTATACTTAATGGAAGTAAAGAGTGCAAATTTGTGATGTATGTTTTCTGTAGTCATTTCAGTTGAATATAGCACCAGATTTAAAGCGTACTTTAGAGTTAAAATACTGATCAAAGTATCAAAAAAACGAATACGTTAATAAGAAATCAAATCTGTGTTCCATTTACAAACAATCTAAGAAAGTATTACTCAAAGAAACCATCTACTAACGCAAGTCACATAATAAGTTTACACGCGAGAATACCTCCAACATTTCACAAACCTACATAAATAAGGGCCGGAGCAAACGGAATATAAAACGCAATAACACACACGTCAATATGCATCGCAGGTGTTCGCCTTCCAATATTAATACTGTGCTGCCCGACTAATATGCGCATTATGCATGAACGTCGCAATTTGACGCACGCACGACAAGACGCGCGTGCGAGCGACGCCTTATTATATGCCTGTTTATGTTTTATGTATATCGCAGGGTGCGGTGTTAGAGCGTGCGTTTAATTGTCCGGCGACTTTATAATATTATGTAATATCGCTATGTTCTAACGATTAACTTAACTGTTATTGTATCTGTTATTGTACTAAGCGCTAATACTATGTACTAAAGCACTAAGTGTGAAAACCTCATTTTAATTACCACAGTCTCACTAAAAACTAATTTTAATTTTAATTACACAAAGCACTTTCTGCTCGCTGTCTCTTTACTCAATAGGAAAAATTATCGTTTGTTAGTACATCGCGTGTATGATCTAGGTCTAGATAGCACATTATACGGGCTGATAGCTGACAGAGGCTCAATGGTGATCCTAAACAGTATTCGTACACAATGGTCGGCAAACTGCCCGTATGTATGTGGCGGCCATTTTGCCTGTAAACAATACGAGTGTTCAGCGATATTTTTATATTACTAATTTAATCTTAATTACTTTAAGTTCTTTCATTACTTTGTGGGCTGCTGTACGCAGTGTACATAATTTCATGATAAAAATTAATGTAGATGGTTGTGTACATACCGTGTAATCTACAGTAAATAGGTACTATATACTAATCTATGTGAGAAACGAACCAGCCTGAAACAACGACCTCATTTCCTAAAACACTTCTCAAACAAAATGTCTGTCGGAAATAATTGAAGCAATAAGTTTCAGTTTACGGACAAAAAACTGAAACCTTAGAACGGAGCCTGACAGAACTAGGCTGAAACGCCTGAAACCGAAGGAGTTCGCTTCACAAATATTTATGAGGTAATGAACTCTGATATTTATTAAAGAACAAGTAAATAGAACGACTATTCATAAATACACCTTGTGTGTAAAATGAGCATGTGTATCGATTTCATCCCTTTTGGTAATTTTTTTTCTTATAGATGTTGTATTTTGTTATAAAATGGGAGGATGAAAAAAAAGTAATAATAAACCCTTAATAAAACGATATAAACAAATAGACAACTGTAGGTTCTGTCTTCCCTAAACAATTTCTGTTATTAATACGCCATAAACTATTGTATTATTTCGATAAAAACCACCGAAATCTTTAAGTTACCGATGACAACATATCAACTTTATTTATTTGATCTCAAAAGAAAATATAGAGACAGCCATTTCTCAGATATTCTTAGTTTGTTTTGGGCTCTACGGCGTAGCGTGATAGATGTAGCCGTCTACGGCGTAGCGTGCTACGATTTGTATTCGTAGCGCGGTGTAAGAGTATTTTTGATCAACATTTACTAGATACTATCGAGTTATTCATCGCAGCTCTTTCCGGACTGTTACAGCCTGTTTGCTGAGAGTTTCATAACTTATCACAGTGACGGTGAGATTTTTCACAAGAAATAAACTTGTATTTACAAACGGATCAGATCAGAAAGTAAAGCCTCGTTCATAATTTTGTTGACAACTGAAAATAAAAAGTCTCTTTATACGAAAGATAATTCCGCGAAATGTTTGGATCGTCAAACAAATATTTTTATCGAATAGCGGACAAAGGCCCACTTATATCTTCCTAAGTACATCCACATTCCATCGCTGGTCGTTTGTTTAAGGCTTTAATAAAACCTCCTCGAGTGCTCCGCGTCTTGTTTCACTTGTTTGAAAGTCACATTGTTGACATTACCGACATTTTGATGTTTTCAACATTACAAGTACTTTCGTCCGTCGAAGGTTGAAATAAATTCATTTTGTATTACATACCGATTTGGCTGCGACTTTAAATGTAACTTACCTGAAATAGACAGTAAACAGAACATACATAGACTTAAAAAAATATTCAGATATTAACTATTAAATCAATATTATATTATAACGACATATATATTGACACGCGTGTATATATTAACACATTATTAAATATTGATATCAGTAAAACAGTAATCAATCACAATATGTCCATCCAACACCCATTAATTTTCATAAAATATGACTTTAAAACTTGCTTTATAATAATAAAAATATTTCACGTGAAATAAAAGCAGCCAGCGAGCTGCGAGCTGTGAGAGCTGCGAGCTAAAGTTAATAAAGTCGAGCGAACAATTTAAAACTAGGAAAGTTGGCGATAAGCCGCAGTTTGATTGCTTCGCTAATAAATATATTGTTCGGTAAAGAGGAAACTTTCACAATACATATCGTTTACTTATTTTCAGACACCTCGCACAGTCAACGATAATATTTTGATAGATAACGTATGTAGCTAGTTACTTTAATATGCTAAGAACCGGTCGATCGATTTGGAGGCCTGTGTTCAGTAGTTCGTTTGTGGCTTGTGATTTTTTTGCATAAGACTATTTACATGGTCTTATTGATAAAAATTAACTACATCGTGAAATAGAAAAAGTTTTTACACTGGGACTACTACTCTAAGAGGTACAAAAAAAAAGGGCGAAATCATCTCTATGTTATTATGAAACTCAAAATTGAAAACGTCTATCAACAGATAAGATTCTAAATGTGTTGAATAAATACAACATGTAAATAATTTCAAAGAATATTTCAGGCTAAAACGTACCTTGAACTGAAAAGCTGCTTATTACAGGAATATATCCCGATCCGCAATTTTTCTCATTCATAGTAGGCTTATTAAAATTTTCAAGGATGTTCGCGATGCGAGGTTTCATTTCAGTGATGAAAGCTCATCGCAGCTTTAATATGTTTGTAACTTGGATTACTGAAGGAAAAGTACACGCCTTTATATGCGGAGCGCTAATGTTGGCTGTGTACTTAAATTATACATATAACAAAATAATTTCTTTTATTCAATGAATTAACTGTAAATAAATAAATAAATCAGTTGTGAATACGTTATTTGATAGGGAAGTTGATATTATCGAAATTTGTTTTTTTTAACACTTTTGTAATTTTTTCATATCCGTTCTCTGTATCAGAATACTGCGTCCTGTTTTGATGATGTTTGTATAAAAATATGCCAAACATTTCCACGTAGCACGAAACTACGAATTACAAGGAAGCTCAAAGGAAAACTAATCTCCGCTACGCCGTAGCGCTCGGCTACGGACTACGAGCTACGGCTACGAATACTTCGTAGTCTACAAAAACAACTGCTATGTATGAATTGTATCATAATCACAATTCGGAAAGTGTAGACAGTGGATGAGTAATGGAAAATGAATTATATTTGCTTATTGTTGCATTAGTTTTGACACATACATGATTGTATCTAAAGTGGCTAGTGGTAAAATATTACTAAGAAAATCATCACAAAAATTTTACTAACTTAAAAATACGGAAGTAATCAAAGCCCAGCAAAGATTCAAAATATTTACAGTCGACGAATAATCTCAATAAACATACATACACCGCCCTAAACCGCTTAAGTAATCAAAGGCAACTCTTCCATTAACGCGCTATGGTGAATTAAAACACGTGGGGTTGCCCGTAACCCCGCAGTACACAACACACCCCGAGATTCTTGGGGGAAGTTCCCGAATTGAGGGAAGTTTTCGTCACAACACATTCCGCGCGTTCCCAGCACTAAACAAGGGAATGACAGAAGTTGTATTACGGGATTTGATTACTAGTGTACGGGGTTTGGACTTTCCACACTGAATAATGAACACAAAGTCACAAATGCCATTCACGTGTACTTTACGTTTACGTCTCATGTACTAATCACGTTAGTTTGAAAACAAAATACTAAACGATAAGAGTAGCAGGTACATCTTTCAAAGGCCACATCAACTTGTTTCACTGATCTCTCACACAGCGGCGTGTACTCGCAACATACTTCAAAATGTTGCTAATATAATTATTTCTGGCGATTCTAAAGCAAAGGGCAAACTTGTCAGAGAAATAGAATCGAATTAAATTCGCTCGTGCCCCGTTTGTGCCCGGATTAGATTATTCTTAGCGACAACAAACTGGATCACGTTGCCTTATAAATTACTTGAAATAAACTTATTATGTTCTTGCGTTTGTGACTTTGTCTAACTTCCATCTCGCTTCGGATTATATTCTGAAATGATTTTTAATGTTCTGACTTCCCCTTTGATACAGAGGACAGGCTAAAGTTAGAAGTCTCAAGATGACTTAATAATATGGTATTTAATTTAATGTTTTCGTTATTATGATAACAATAGTAAAATAGGAAATATTTACTTTATTCAGAAACAGGACAAAGTAATTGATATCTATTGATTTGGAACGTAAACAGGCTAAGAGGCATTTATGTATATCTGCAGTTAGTATTTTATTTTAAGTGTATAAAATAGTGACACTAAATTAATGTACCCGTTTTTTAAATCGTCACTTTAAATACTCAACATAAATACTAAATACAGTGTAACCAGCGACCTCCATCGCACACGGACCAAATGGAACCTCTCTTGACTACCCCTATTCAATGTAATATCTGCAATTTTCCATAGATGGCGCTATAACTTGTGGATTGAAAACCTCCCCTGTAGAACTTTAGTTCGTGCATTCAACAAAGCTACTTCCCTATGTTGCATGTAGCGCCTCCCAGCGGGCGGTAAACGAACTTATAACACGCTAATACCGTTCTCAGTTCACACAACTTGCGACAGATGGCACAAAACCATTTTCTTTGTCGAGCTACTGCGATGTATTTACTGATGTTTCTCCATATGTAAATTATATGATCATTTATTTAAATTTGCTTACCTTTAACAGATGAGGATCTCTCTCCGCAGCGTCCAGCAACGACTCCGCCTCGCTCAGCCAAGCAACAAATTTCTCCAGCGAACGGTCGAAGTTCTGCAGCGATGATACAGCTGAATGCAACGCTTTGCCTCGAGCGACAATGCTGGGAAAAAACGTAAATATAAACAAATGCCATTTAAGTACTAATCTCAAAAACTACTGATTAAATAAATATCATAATGAAAATTTTACGAAAAATTAATGAAGTCATAATTTTAAAACTTTACGGTTCAAACATTTGAGTTGTGATTTTAATTAAATTTATTATTTTAATCAAAACTTTGTGGTTAAAATATTCATGAATTCTTATGCTAAATAGAATATTTATGAGTTTACATGAAACATTGTATATTATTTAATTAATTTACGTTTCAGTGTACCCGTACTAAATGGAATAACAACCCTAACTAGTATTTTTTGGATAATGTTTTATTATTATTTTAGCAAATTATAATTACATAAAGTCCAATTTAAGGTAGAGGACGTGACAGTTACTGGTTTATGACGAGTACAGTCACAAGGGAGGAGAAACAACCCTCAGACGAACCACAACAGTTCGACACAAATGTAACAGATGTCGCTTTACTGCAAATCAACCCGCTACGTACAGATGGCGTATGTGAACCCTTGCCGAATCATAACTATTATATTTATATTATTAACGTTGTAATAAAGAATACTGCAAATAATGATACCTGTTGTTCAGCTCATTGTATCTATGGTTGATAGCCTCAGTGGAACGTTTGATGCGAGTTGTATCGTCATTGCGATACACCGCAATGAGGCGCTGTGTCAGCTGACCAAATAGTTCAATCTGGTGTTTGTATTGATGCACTTCAGCGTGGAACGACTGTAGACAAAGAATAACAATTAGAAACATAAATATTAGTTCAAGTTCTAAGAGAAAAGATTGGTAGAGTAATGCCATCTAGTGGATGCCTGCGGAAGTTTAATCAAGAGTTTCGTTCTCCCTGTGATAGATGGCGGTACATTAAAGTCTGGTTCGTACAAATGTCTTTGGTCGTAGCAATAAAGATAGGGCACAGAGATAACCGTAATTAATGTAATTAAATTGCTTTAATAACATTAACATAATTTCGTTGAAAATTAAATCGTGGAGGCGTCACGGCATGTTTTTGTACGTTGTGTAATTGTGTATGGAAAAAATGTTTATATTGCTCATATTGCTCATAGGATAATAAAGATATCGCGAGTGGTAGGGTTAGTTTTAATTGTTGTGTTTCAAGAAACCTTAAGATAGCTTATAACATAGAATCTGTAAGAACAAACTATTACAAGCGAATATAAAACAATAGTCCAATATCTAAGAGTTGCCTTCGCTACATAAAGTACAGGCAAGTTAGGTTCCATGCAAAGTGGAATATTAAAGGCTTTCGCGGCCGGATCCCAATTAACAGGGATTTATGGCGCGCATACGAGCAACTTCTGCTATTACCCGTAACTTATGCGGTCAGGAAGCCATGCTTTAAGAACTTTAGTAATATGTAGGAAAAAACTATGAAAGTATTTGGTATAGTTTTGAGATACAATGGTAGATGCTTAAAGTTTCACTGATTACGTAACATTTATTGATTATCTCTCACTATGGACCGATTTTTCCAGATAAATGTTAACTGAGGAATACCTTTGAACATTTGACAATTCTTCCGTACTAACAACTGACCAATGTCAATTTTATTTTACAGTTAAAAATAAACTGATGTATGTAAAATCGGCATTTAGTCTTGCAGTACAGTTTGGTTTGATTCCCATGTCGAGCAAAATACTGTGGGGTATCAGAAAGTTGATCATGTTTTTTAGTAAACGACACGAAATCTGGAATTCTCCCCAATATTGCATGGCACATAATTGGCAAAAAGTGTTACATTTTTCAGTACCTACGTCTGTGTATCTCTTCTTACCCGTAAGGGATAAAAAGCATGATACGTTATGTTTCTTAACTTTCAGCCCAAGGGGAACTTCTATCAGTTACGACCCCCAACCCAGTTACGAAAACTTCGAGAAAAAGGAACTTTGTATGCAGCCTATTTGGTCTCTACATTATTCATGGGTTCACATTCTACCTATTGTTTTTAAAAGGACACCCATGTCGATATCAACTCAGTTTAGCAGTTTCTTAACTTTTGTAAAAATCGAAATCTTAAAGTAAATGGCTTAAGGTGCAAAGTCGCTTAAAAGTTGTGCTGTCTTACTCATAACTTGGTGTGTTTGTAACTGAGACGTGTACATGTATAGATTTATGTCTGTGTGTGTGTATGTGTGTATAAACTCGTCGGGAGTAATTATGCAAATGTACAAAGTTTCCGTCGTCGTCGGCGCTAACCACTTCGTTCATATTTTTGCTGATTTTCTCCACAAGAAAATTATATTATTGCAAGTTTTTGTTTTGTTAGCGCTGTGAAGGGGGCAGTTACTGAGCCGGAGTGTTGACACTCACTCTGTTTGTTCAACTTTAGTAATATTATACGGAGACCAGCTTAATTAGTGTATATTGTTGAATGTCAAACTCTGGAGATGGCATTGGAGTAAATTAATAGCGACATCTTTGTTTAGTATACCTAGAGATTGGTATAATTAAAACGTAAAGTAACATTATGCTCTTCATAATTATTTATTTAACAAAATTGCCACATAATTTACCTCGATAAAGCCAACATAGCCACATGCAAAGCGTTTAAACAAAAAAGTCTTTAAACAAAACTCTCTTGTCATTTAAAATCAATTTAAAAGGCATTTTCTAACACACGCCAGTCCTCGGAATCTGAATACTTCATATTACACGACAATGTCACGACACGACGCTGAATTGCTTTCATTAACGGATTCATGTATCGATAATCAGATCTCGAGTGAACGGATGAACGAATGAATGGAATGAATGAACGAGAAAATACCGCGTCGGTCGTGTACCGCCGAGTTTCCGACTCATGTCATTTCTCCGAGTCGTTGTTATTGGCTCCGTTTATAGTAGTATTGTGTTCCCTATATCCATGGTTTTATGAAACATAATCCATAGCAATGAGCTATTTTTACGCTACTACAAGTAGATAGATAAGCTATAATATTATACACCCACGTTTAGATACACAAATGTGGTTATTTCTTCTTCGTTTTCTGAGTGAAACCTCCAAAGTTTGTACTATATTTCAAAATAAGAACTTTAGTTCAAACTAAGAAATGAACCAAAAAAGAATATTCCTGAGCACTAAATAATGTATTTAACAAAACGAATAACACTTTCATAAGTAATTGCATATCTATCAATCTAACTTCGAATTAAATCAATTTGAATGGAACGGTGTTGTCTATTCCTAGCAGACAGTACGAGAGCCTCGAGGCATACAAGCTATAATGCCTGCCGACAGGTACACGGTACATGCTGCAGGCTACTGGCTCATCCGAGAAGATTTGACAGTATAATGTCCATTCAGGACAACGTATATACATATAAACAAACAGACACATACAGTGTGCCAGCAAATCTACCTACTACAAACTATCAATATTTTAACTTTCGACTTTATATCAAAACAGTAAAGTTGAAAATCAAATAAAGAAAAATAGGAAGGTTTAGGCTGACCTACTGGGAGTTTCATGAAATATTATGTGCCTATGTGCGAAATGATACGAGGACTAATACAGACAGACTTCACGAACACAAGACAATATGGCGTCACAAGCAGTGAACTGAAATAACACATAGTGACGTCACACCTCAATGTGACACGATACACGTTACATGTTGCGACGTTACGCGACAAAATAGTGGCTGTCAAGTAATCAGCAACTGTTCAGACGTGTAATAGAATACTGATCTTGATTTCTAAGATAAGGTTCGGATTATGAAGGAAAATGATATGAGATTACAAATCATAGTTTATGAATTTAACATGACTTCTTCTGTTGCAGTAGCATGACACCCAATAGTGTATTGTGTCGGCAATAACTGGGTAACGTTACAGTCACCGGGGAACGAAAGTATTGCCAAAGACCGCCTTATTTATTGACTATACTAAGAACATTAAAATACAAAAAAGAATAATACTATGTCACACTCAAAAATAGGACCCTGCACAGGAATATAATGTCCGTGGGGCTGATTTATTCAAACCGTCTAATGTTAATTTTATTCTTCATATAAGAATTACATATTTATTATTTAACCCTTAGTCAACCAAAGATGTTCTTTATAGTCCAACAAGCATTTCTTCCACAACACTAAGTCGTCATTAAACAAACTGTATTTCCAAAAGGACATTACAACCATCAGCCTGCCCAGCTCGTCCTCCAGCCTCCGACTACACACGCGGCACGCAGACGGCGCCAGCTTACAGTGCAGGTCACGTCCACAAACCTAATACAAAGTACGAGCGGCGCGACTCACGCTTTGCAATTTTATCACCTTTTTATTATAAAAATGTTAATTTACATCGTTGCTGGCCACCATGTGGGGTCTTGAAGATGGAGGCTCGTGTTAGTTGTGTGGAGTATGAAGATATGCTTTCAGTTGGACAATTTAATCTGTAATCAACGTTATTCTGCCCTGCCTCTAAGCAACCTATTCACTCAAATTACTCATATAATATGTATTTACACATGATTACATATCATGTTATGTAAAACCAGTACAAACAGAACGTAGAATGTGCGGAAAGATCACACAAAACAAAACCATAATGAACTGGAGCACATTAGCTTATACAACAAATATTACCTTCTGTTCCCGCAGCTGCATCTCCAGTACATCAGCAGTGTTAGCTGGCGGCTGCATGGCTGCCAGGCGGGCCTCCATGCGCGACAGCCAGGCGTCGGCGTCGCGGCGCCGCGCCTCGTACCGCTGCGAGTCGCCCAGCATGGCGTCCAGCTGCGCCTTGCGCTGCAGCACGCGGGCATTGGCCTCGTCCCAGTGCTCCCGGAGTGCGGTCACTGTACAAACAAACAAGTAATTAAATCTCTTTGTGAATAAAACTAGATACACTATTTAAAACTCTACAATGTTTGTTGAGAGCAAGATTATAACTTCTGTTCTGTTGTATTCATCTTAACTTTAATAGCAGGCACCCAAAGATACCCTCTGACCGAACAATACGGCAGCCACGTACGGTAGATATAAGTAGACTGAGAGGCTGGTCAATAAAATCCAATGATTTTTATATAAATACATATATCCTTTACAAATCGCGCATACCGCGCACGCTGCTCATGAGGAAGAACCCTTCTGTGGTTCGAAACTAGTTGAGCTTTTCTCAGTACTTTCACGTGAGTAACTCGCGATTTTTAGTTAATTTAACATTATAATAACAAGTAAGTATATCCTCTTTTTTAGTATACTTGAAATTGATAAACTGATTGATGTCATTTAATGTACTATGTTTAATTAAAATTGACAGATACTTGTTAATAACACAGTCTAGAGTCCTTCCGTAGTATGTACATACAAAAACTGAATTTATAATAATATGTATCTCATTACATTAAAGGAAAAATACACAATATTGTCAATGAATCTACTTCCACTATTCATAGTACTCTGTATACATGTACAGCCCAACATCTTCGGTAGAAGCCATTAGCGTAATTTGCTTCATTCCTTATCTACATACAGTACATCACATCTTAAGGCTTCTCTTTTAAATAAACAGTTTATATTTACATCTGTACACTTGTGGCCGTCCTCGCCTCGTGTATCTTTCACAGACCTACTTACATTAATTAATTACTTAAACTCTGCAACTGTGGCCGACTGATAACGTGTGTTTTGAGGTAATTAGATGAAAAGGTAAAGAAATAGGTCTACAAACTTTGAACAACATATTTCCATTTGTAGGTGAAATATTAAGAACGGATGTAGGAATGTAATACAGCAAGGACCGCAAAGAATGTGTCGCTGCCCTCGTATTGCCAATATATTACCCGACGCCCTCATAACCGAATATTCACAACACATTCTTAACGAAAGCATTACAAGGATAAGCAACACAAACAACATATTACTACAACTCCCATATGTATGATACATTTTTATCTACATACATACATTTATTATAAGCAGCGCTCAAAGGGATCGGTTTGTCAAACTAAACCATGTCTATATTAATATCTATCTATTCACAATTTCAGATCCTGGCTATGTAGATGCTGTAGATTTTTCAATATCGTAACTACACGAACCGTCAAAGTTTGTTTTCCATCGCATTATAGAGGCACATCTTCAGTAATGTTATTGAAGAAAACCGGCGATGTATTCTAAAAGAGATTTTCGTTCGAGATTTGACGAGATGTAAAGATTTGTGAGTACAGTTATCTTGTAGATGAAGCCATGGATAAGTAAATATGGAATAAGTTGGAAATAAATTGCTTCTGAACAAGTGTTCGTCGACATTTGTAGGTAAATGTAAATGTGTGGCTCGAGTGGTCGCTCACTTGGAATTGTTTGACGTCTTAATGGACTAGTTATCTCACGCAATCTGTCTGAGTGCTCTCCCCGTGTCACCCGCCTCTCGCAGCATTTATAATAAAAAGTCATTTATTGTTATGATGCTTTATGTATTTCGTTCAAATTGTCCTGAAAATATATTTTCTGAGGAAACCTACGTTTGCCATCCACCCACACCAACACACTCGCAAGTGGAGCCACTTCCACACGTAACCGAATTGATGCACATCCTTCCTACAAGCTCGCTAGTTCCTAAACCCGGTCTACCTGCAATTACCTTATTTCCTTCGAATGCGCCGCCATTTTGCGCACAAACATTGTGAATTCAAACAAATAATACTTCAACACAAACATTAGAAGCAATCTCATACACATGCACGACTTTTATGAATTAAATATCATGCATTTCAAAACGAAATTGCAATGAAATCTCAACCTTAACAAGTATACAATATGATTCGGTTTATAAATAATAGCGAAAGGGGCGAGTCTTGTGGAAATGAGCCTATGTGCTGAGTTAGAAATATGAATATTATAATGAAGATGTATTTTGAGATCTGTCTGCCTGTCGGCCTAGCGGAGCACTTGAGCTAATTAAAATGACAGTTTTTATACAACACACAGTCTTTATTATTGTTTGACGTAAGATCATTAAAACAGATCTGACTTAGAAAAATTTAGTTAAAACCGACATATTTAACCTAACTGAATACTTAGCTGCTTGATACTATTTTACTAAACAGTTTAACATTTAAACGTTTACTAAATACCTTCTAAACCTAACATAAAGAGTCCCTAGAGACTGACTTTCCACCAAAATGTAGACAACATTAAAAAACTTTAACACACAGTGCTCGAACGCGCGTGTCTCCTGGACAAAATTGTGCGCCCTACAAATGAGGTGCACAGTGTACAGTGAGGGAAATAGTTCTGCAGTAAAGTTGTTACGTGATGCCAAGTGCAGTACTCCTGTGTGAGCTGTATCGGTGAGATATTTCATTCCAGGATACTTTCACAATACGATGGAATTTGACATCGAGTAAGGAATGAAGGTAACATTAACTTTGAACATTTCAACTATATTATTGTAAATGGTGAAATACTATTCGTTGTGGAATGTGTTTTCAAGCGATTTAAAGAAAATTTTATATCAATAACGAGGGATGATCTAGTTTAGTCCATAAAACCAGAATTATTATCGTCAAAGATCATTGAAACCGTCCATTACAAGCACTTTCCGCGTAAAAAGAAAAGTAAATACAAATAAAATAACAATAATACAAGTTAACGTCCTTCTTATGGTGTTGTAAAAGTTTGACGACATCCCATTACTGCGGTGTACATAAACTCGCACATTTAATTCTATTATAGTCATAACAAATGTTTGTTTTCAATCTTGGTCCCTGTTTTATGCGATTAGTAAAAGATTGAGCCCTTGTTGATCTACTAAAAATAGAATCCGTTTAAGATAGATTTACATTTTAATTTCGTTGACGAGAGAGGAAGATTATGACGCGATCCATTTTAGAATTAGTACAGAATTACATTTCGAAATACAGTGAATTTAAAAACCAATATTTATTATAGCTCTCTCACTTGACGAAACTTACGCTGTAATACTCAAACGCCACTCAATTTTAGTATAGTTCTGTCTCTAAAATTCTTTGAAAATGATAGAGATAGCACGACATTTTAGTACAACTTAAAGTCGAGTAGCCTTTCATTATTCGAGCGCTAAGCTTCTCTTAGTAAAACAAGTATGTCGGGATTCACTCGTGTAGTGTAATTTTCGCTGTAACCTCAATTAAGTTAGCTATATTGTTGAAACTACGGACAGGAATAGCGGGCATTAATTTAGGGGCCTGTTCGCATCTTCATCAACCATTTTAACTGCTCACCTTCTGAACAATCCTGAATGATACGACAGTGCTAAACAAAATTAATTAGACTACGCGATGGGATACGTCGGTCGTTTGGCGTAAGTTAACAGCTAAACTTTGTTCAGGAGCGAGCGGTGGCGGCCCACTGTGCGCGCATACTAACTACGCACTGTTTGCTTTGGCTGCGCCATTTGAATTTACATTTCGCAAAGGGTGATTGAGGCTGGCAACGGGAGGCTATCTATTTTACGAACGCAATGAGAGTAACACTAGAGTTATTTTCAATCAACAGTATTCTTTTTTTTAAGGAAAACGTTGCTCCACCATTGGATTTTCTCCTCTGTCGTAGGTGCATACAAACATACAAGTTCACATACATCACACCCAGACTCGGAACAACAATGTGTGGATCACAAGAGTTGTTGCGTGCGGCAATCGAACCCGCTACACGTTGTGCGGCAGCCAGTTGCCCAGTCACCGTGCCAAACGGCAGTGAAAAAAAATCTTTGACAATATGGTAACTCCAATTTCAAAGTCATCTAGTTTTTTCCTAAGGGGTATATAAAATTAAATTTTTTCAATAAATGATTTTGGCTGTCAGTCAGTCACTCAGTAATAATGCTTATATTGTTGTTACAGTAGATTCTACTACAATTCAGAAACACTCGAAAAAAGTACCTACATTATTTTCCACCCATTTACTGCTCAATTTTGACCAGCACTGGGATTAGTGGGCGCACAGTGCGACGCCCTCGAGACTGAAGTCCAAGTTATTAATATTCAGGTTAGGACGAAGTTATCGGCACCTTGACTTAGATTACCATTTATCATTTTAATATTAACGAGTCAATAGATCAGAAAACTAGGAGCCTGTGTGTTATTTGGTTACATCTTACGGAAAGAAATATGTACATTTAAACACGCTTTTATTAAGTTAGTGTATTATAAAAGACCTTATTAAGCTGTTACATAAAGTCTAGTTTATACTTTGTGTTAGGTGTATCACTCAAGCATCGAACCTTTCAACAGTGACCTCAAGTGTAAAAACTGGCCGCTGGTGTGTGACACCGGGAAACCGGTTATACTCGCTGAAATAGAAATATGCACATAGAACATACATACATACATATATACTACATAAAATACATAGTAAAATTGTATAATATAATAAGTAAGAATAATAAACAGTACATAAGAAATAATAATAGCTAGGTAGGGTACATTGCGCGACATCGCCGCGACCACGTATACTGCTCATGAGCACGAGTCCCTCTGTGACTCGAAACTAGTAGAGGAGCTTTTTTCAGTATATTTACAGGCGATACTCATAATTTTTAGTCAATACAGCTATTGATATTAAACTGTCAAACACCAAGCGGTCACCGGTGACCGCGACCCATTGTTCTTTAATTGTGTCTATAAAACCGGTACTCGACGAGTTAAATAATCAAATCTGGAAGTACTTAATTTGTGTTATGTCATGTATATGATGTAATCAAAGAACTTCATATATATTCAGTGTAGGTACACAGACAGTCGAGTCGTGGTGGCCCGGAGGTTTAAGACGTCCGCTTCTCATGCATGAGGGTTCAAAACCTACCAACGGCAAGTACTAATGTGATTTTTTCGAGTTATATGTGCCTTTTAAGATTATTTAGACACCACTGACAAACGGTGAAGGAAAGCATCGTGAGGAAACCTGGACACTTATAATTTCTAATTATAAGTTTGAAATCTCCTACCCGCATTGACCAAACGTTAATGCTAGTTTAACCTTTTCCATGTGAGAAGAGGCCTTTGGTCAGATGTGGCCACTTATGACTGTTGATGACACAGACAATAATAGCTTCTAAATAGAATACGTAGATACTATAAAAAGTGATGTACCTACGTCCGTAGTCTGTGTTGTGTTGTTGTCTTTACCTAACAAAAACTGATTTAGATTCATCGACAATTTGATACTGTATAATTCCTCACGGTAGATAACTAAATCATTATGATAAACAGAAACAGGATCCCAGACAGACAATAATTGTTATCACCTTTAAAAATACGAGAGGTGGCTAAAGCCGGTGTAAGCCTAAAATCTCGAGCTAACGAGGTCTAATCGACCCGCTAACTGGCTGCTATTAGTGACCAGTGGAGGGTTAGTCCGAGCCCGCCGCTTATTGATCACTTTTACCACACTGCACATCCAACCCTTACACACCTATACCCGTGTAGTATTTTATTTTTATTCTGTGCCACGCCCCACTGGGCAGTCTTTACATAATATTTTGTTAAGTACAAAAATGTGAGGGAAGCTATTTTCCTGCCAGATAAAGCATTTTTTCATACTTCATAATAGCGGCAGTACTTGCAAAAATATTAGTAGAATTTCTTTACTATTACTCAAATTAAATCTTATTACAACACCTACTCCAAGTTATAATGAACCGTTGACTATACTAAGTGATAAAGTTTCAAAGTTATTACTGTATTTTTTATTTCAAGAAAATTAATTGTTATTTAATTTTTTAGTCTTCGTAAAATGCTACAAGATTATGAATATTTTTAATCATATATTCACTTACAGACATATTCATTTAACTTATTACTAAGCATCGCCACACTATTCTACAGTCTGTTGGCAAAATTACCGCTCTTAACCTATATTTCTATATATATAAGTATACAATTTACTATTAGAAGGTTTTATGCTAGATGCAATTACTTCACAAAAAAAGATATACTTTTTTTTGAGGGATGAAATCATCGAATGCCTGCTCCCGCCTGGGTGAGGCGGGAGGGAGTGTCAGACTCTTACTGACTAAAAACCACCCCGTTCCTACTCATGCTCTTCAAGTTGCAGCCCCGGCAACCGTCGAAAGTCAAACCCGTTTGGCCTTCCGCGACTCCGTATCGGAAAGTATATGAAATATTTATTTATTTCTATTTAAAAACACCTGAAACTATCATTACACAACATTATATACCCTAATGTGACAGCTAAGAACTTAAACTAAACATACCAAACAACACCAACTAAACAATATTAACGTATTATGTTTTTACAACAATGCCTCTTTCATCTTTCAGACTTACAGTCCAAAATCCGGTAGTATTTTAAAAAAACTATATTACTACACTTGATAACTACATAAATACAGGTCAGATGTATATTTTCCTAGTATTCTGATAAAATAAAATAGTATTGTAACAATTTGTTCCAGATAAAAAGATATTCACCAGCAGTTGCAACATTTGCAACAGCTGGTGAATATGCGAACAAACTGATACTCGGACTGCATTGTTACAGTAGTTTTATGTTACAAATACTTTTTGTATATCATGGATACTGATACTTTTT